TGAATTGACTTCCTTAAGCGAAGTGACACTGGTCATATATTGCGTTTTACTTCAGAAAAGAAACAGCAATTTTCTACTGCTGGTTCCAAATGAATTCAATTCGTTCACCAAGGCAAGACATGAAGTTTCTCCTAGATGGAAATGTGTTTGCTTCCTTGACTTAGAAATTCAACTTGTCATATCCTGTCATCTTGTTAGCTGAGGAGCCAAACGTCACGTCTCATACCAGCTCCCTCTCTGCGGCTGGTTTCTTTTATTTTCTTTCTTTCTTTTTCCTTTTGTGGACAGGGTCTTGCTCTGTTACCCAGGCAGGAACAATCACAGCTCATCGCAGCCTCAACCTCTCAGGCTTAAGTGATCCTCCCGCCTCAGCCTCCCAAGTGGCCGGGACTATAGCCACGTGCCAACATGCTGGGCTAATTTTGAATTTTTTGTGGAGCTGAGGTCTCACGATGTTACCCAGACCATTCTTGGACTCCTGGGCTCAACCAATCCTCCTGCCTCAGCCTCTCAAAGTGCTGGGATTACAGGTGTTGAGCCACTATGTCTAGCCTGTTTTGTTTTGTTTTGTTTTGTTTTTAAAGAGACAGGGTCTTGGTCTGTCACCCAGGCTGGAGTGCAGTGGCATGACCACAGCTTACTGCTGCAGATTTCCTTAAGCGAAGTGACACTGCAGGCACAGGAATTTGAACTTCTTTATACAAGTTGTTTCAAATTGATCCGATGTCACTTTATATATGACTTTTCACTTCATTGTGCCTACCACTCACTTAAGAAACAAACTTGTAGAGGGCTGGAGAAACGCTACTGTGTTAAATGTACGCTGCATCTCTGAGATGAATCCCTATTTTAGGAATGCAATGTTTTTATCTAATGTGTACTTTGGAACTGAAGAAACAAGACTGTTAACTTCTGCCCTCCTTTTAGCTCACAGAAGACAACACTTTATTGACCTTGAAAGACACAAATTACATTTTTAAAATACTGTTCTATAATATCAGTCACACTTTGTATAAATAGAGACAATTTTCTCCCCAAGTTGTCTAGTCTGCTAAGACAGGGGTTAGCAAACTTTGGCCCACCTCCTGATTTTGTAAATAAAGTTTTATTGGAACAAAGCCATGTCTAGTTGTCTACAGATTGTCAATGTCTGCTTCCACATTACAACAGCAGAGCTGAGTAGTTGCAATAGAGCTCATGTGGCCTGCAAAGTCTAAAATATTTACTATCTGGCTTTTAATAGAAAAAATTTGCTGACCACTGGTTCTAAGGTTATAGGGAATGCAAACTGGCTGCCCAAAGGCCAGTTGTCCTAACAGCCATGTTTTGCTGGTGTTTTAAAAAGTGAGCCAAAGCAGCTGAGCCCCTGCTGTTTGGCAGCTAGCTTGCATCAGACATTTACCAAACCGCCTGGCTCTTGCAGGCACCGGGATTTGATCCCTGGTTTAGTAGATTCCGAATGGGTGTTTGCTTGGGAGTGAAAGACCCAGATTGTGTTCTTGGTTCTGCTTTGAGCTTGCTGTGTGCTATTGATATGGCTACTTGTACTCCCTAACTCTATTTCCCCTCTTCTTAGGTGAGGGGTCAGATAACCTGACTTCTAATCAGCCCTTTCAACTCCAATGTGCTCTGGCCTTGCTCCTCCAAGTGTGGTTGTCAGACCAGCATTTGCATCCCCCAGATTTGCTGAACCAGAGTCCAAAGTCTAACCATCTCCCCAGGTGATTCTCATAAGCACTCTGGTTTGAGAGGCAGTTTTCTTGAAGATCACCTCCCTGGAGTGATGTTAGTGGTACGTGCTGGTCTCCACTTCTGAAATTGAAGGCCTCTGGAGATTTCAATTTCTGAGTTTGAATCCTAGGGTGAGTTAGGTGGGACATAAAAGCATGGCCCTGTTAGTAAAATGTTTCCCCAGCGCCTCCCAGGTAGTCTTTTAACACTTTGTGGGACCCAGCGTGAGTCTGATGGTCAGTACAGTCACTCGCCCTTCTTAGAACGTGCACGGCACAAATACAGGACAGGCAACGCTTTGCTTTGAAATGGCAGGTAGACTCCACCAGAAGAGCATCTACATTCACAGGTGTGTGTGTGTGTGTGTGTGTGTGTGTGTGTGTATCAGGATGTTGAAATGTCTCTCTTGGTGGGGAGGTAATATTTGAGCATTTGCTGGAAGGTCTCAGACTGGAAAGAAGAAAATTAGTGAGCAATTGTGCTGATAGATTTTAAGAAACTTACATAACAATTTCTTTTTAATTGCTGTTTCAAAGAGTAGAAGAGATTGCAAGTGAGACATCTTCTTTCAGGGTTCACTGCTGGGTAATACAAACAACAGCAACAACAAGGGCAATGGCTGGTACTTGCTGAACACTCACTATGTGTCAGGAGCTGTCCTAAATCTTTTAAACATGCATAAACCTATTAAATCCTCAGAACAACCTCATAAAGTAACACCATTACTATCTCCATTTTATAATGGAGAAACTTGGGGACAAAGTGAAATGACTGATCTAAGGTGCTGGGATTAGAATCTGAGGCAGTCTAGCTCCTAAGTCCATGCTGTTAATGACAATGCTACACTGCCAGGCCTGTTGAATCTACTTGGTCAGTGAGTGGGAAAAACCACTCCTGCAATGACTATTTGTGGGAGGCGGAGGGATACCTTGGAAGGGAACATAAGGTGGGATTCTGCTGGGCTTCAGGCCTGTCTGAGTAGATAATTGTCTACTTGTTGCTCTCCTCTGATAGACCATCCCTCCTTAAGAACAGGAGCCATGTCTGCTGTGTCCACTATTGGATTTCCAAGGCCTAGCACAATGCTTGGGGCATAGTAGGTGCTGAGTAAATGCCCAGTGACTGAATGAATACAAGAATCTACTAGTGAGTGAGTGAGCTTCCCATTGTTCAGAAGACAAAACATGGGGTCTGACATGGGTACGGTGTGATCAAGGGCCAAATCAATTACATCGTCAGTCGAGACTCTGAGAACCTAAAGGAATATCTGGAGGAATCAGTGGGGCTTCCTAAAGCAGGGAGAGCTTGTGTTAAACTTGGAAGGCAGAGGCAGCTGGAAGGAAGGCCTTTCAGGTGGAAATAAGCTGAAAGCTCAGCTTATTTGCTGTGGCCCAAGATGTCACAGACACCTCCCCTGCAGACAGAGACCACACAGTCAACGTACTGAACAGACAAACACTGTTCTATTTGGCCCGGGGCTTTGGTTGGAGCATGTTCTTCCCTCTAGCTTTGGCACTGGATGGTCCCCTTGTGTGGGCCAAGGATGCCTGCCCGTCTGCTCCTTCTCCCTGTCCCCTTATCAGCAGAAGATGAACTCCACAGAGCTCTCCTGTCAACTGAAGCACAAAGGATTCCCTTGTAGGGCAAAGGCTTGTGATTCCTTGTAACAATATTTCATAATTTATATATTTGATTAAAAACCGGAACCTGAGCCAGCAGCCTGCATACTCTAACATATTGGGATCATTAGCTGCTTGTGTCACTCTTCTATTTTAAAACTTTCCATATTTGAACTCATGGAAGTACATCCTTCACATTTGCTAAACTTTCCCCATAAAAACAGTTTAGTAAGTCTCCATCATCTTTCATAGAAAAAGAAAAAAAATAAGGCCACAATAAAACCCTCTGGACTTTACCTTCAGGGAATATCATTTTATTTAGGCCTTTAAAAACATTTGCCTTATCTTGCCAGTAATTAAAAAAAAATTAAGACAAATGAGAATTTTAGTGGCATTATAATTACTTCAAGATGAGCTGCGCCACTTGGCTTCTCTCCTGGCTCTGCTGCAGCTCTGCCCAGGCCTCCTGTGTGAGCTTCCGTTCCCCAACCCTGCACAGTCTTAGTCTCTTGGATTCTTTGGTCAGTTCTCTTCCAGCTTCTGCAAGATGGCTTCTTCTCTGTGCTTTGCTCCTGTTGCTCTCACAGGGACTTTTTTAAATAAAGGGGACTGTTTCATGAGATTTGGGTGTGGCTGTCTTCTCTAATCCCTCCCCCTTCCCCACAGTGGTTGGCCCACGATGAAGGCATTGCCAATCAGAGTACCCCACCCTCTGGGCAGAGAGATTGGTCAAGGGATAAGCATAGGACTGACCCTTGTTGGCTGATCAAAGTCACCCCGGGAAGCCCCAGAAAGAGAAGCTCCTTTTTCACTGGGCTCATTGGCTCCAAGGACAAAAGTGAGCCCAGCTGCTGCTGGTGGCTGTGTTTGTGGCTGTCTGGGTAAGCCTGCCTAAGAATAAAGCCAATGTGAAGGAAAACAGAATAGAGATGGAGAAAAGAAGCAGAGACTTAACTTGTAATTTGAACTACTGTGTCCAATCGTTCCTGAAGCTAGCCCTTCTTCTGCACTTTCTGACTAGAAAACAGATTCTAGAATGCAAATCCCTTCTCACTTTTTTTTTTTTTTAGGTTTAAACCAGTTTGAATTGGACTTCCCTCATTTGCAACAAGGGAGACCTGAATAAAATTGCTTCTGTCTGCACGTCCAAATACTTTCATTTTTCAAGAAGCAATGTTGTACCAAGGTCAGAACAAAGAAATACTTTATGCTGATCCTTGCAGTTTCCATTACTCGAGACCCAAGAGAATCAGACCAGGAGATCGTTTTGCTTTAAACTAGTAGAATCTGACCTAAGGCAAATACCAGTTGAGAAAAAGGAGAAAACACATTTCTTCCTTCAAGAGCATCATCTCCATTCTTGGCAGAGAGAGATGTGAATGACCAACAGCCATGCCATTGCATAGTTTCATCTTTCATGTAACTTTCTCATATTTGAAGCCAAACATTTGGAGCCAAAGCCTGATAACCCAGCGAGTCAAGCACTCGTGTCACTATTGCTTGTGTCTCCATGGGACAGGCTTGATTGAAAATTGCTAAGACAATATTTTTAAAATGTTCTCATTACAGAAAATAACTATGTGAGGTAATGGATATGTTAGCTTGATTTAGCCATTCCACAATGTATACATATATCAAAACACCATGTTATAGACCATAAACATATGCAATTTTTATTTGTCAACTTAAACAAATCCAAATAAACTAGGAAGTGTAATGGTTTCAGAAATGTTTAATTCACCCAAGCTACAATGTAAAACATCTCAGGTATCTGTCACATTGTTTTTGGTTATAATTGACACTAATGAAAAGCTATATGTTGAAGAAATATATTTCAAAATGAGGAAATGTACTGCCCTACATAGAAAACAAGAAAATCAATTGTCTCATGTAGCAAGCAGTCTAGAGGTTAGTTCACTGTCTCCATGACATAACTCAGTGCCTAGGCTCTGTTTAACTCTAAGCAGCATCATGGAAAGCTTATTGGCTTGGTTCGCTTGTCTCCTTAAGGTTCTAAGGTGGTACCAGGAGTTCCAACACAACAACAGCCAGATTAAGAAGGAACTCCTTCAGAAATTACTGATTTCAAAGATGGGGCAGGAAAAATACAGGATGGGTATGGAGCACGTTATTGTGCCAGATGTAAAATGTGTTTAAAGAATGACGGGCCATGTTCAAAGGACATAGCAACCAGTTTGAAGGAGCTTTCTTTGGCCATAATTTGGGACAATTTGAGCATTAAAATAAATAAGGATGGTAACCAATTATAAACAATTTAGTAAAATAGAAATCCATAACTCCAAACTGATGTAAATAAGTGAATTAATAAATGGGGAGAAGATAGTGCTTTTCCTTATAGTAGAATGCTAATAAACACTAAAGAAATGATTGAATTAGAAAAACCAACATTTGGCAACTATCATAATAATAATTAGTTCGATGGGTGGAATTTTGATGAAGAACAGGATATTGACATAGTCCCAAAGCCCCTAAACACACTTATTAAATACAAAGGACAAAAGAATGACTTCACAATGGAAAAATCTGGCTGATACTGGCATTATCAAGTGTTCAAAATTAATGTCAACAGTAATGGAACAAATCAAAATCCTGTATCATCTGATTGGATGCAACAGAAAGAAAACATCACTTCTGTGGTATTCCTACCAAAAAATGCATAACCTGAATCTAATTTCGAGGAAATATCTGACAAACCTAATTTAATGGATATTTAACTCAACAACTTTAAACAACCTTTAATCTTCTAAGATGTCAAGGTCATGGACATTCAGGAAAGAACAAAGAACACTTCCAAATTGAAGAATAAAGAGACAAGATAACCAAATGGAATGAGTGATCTTTGACTGAATGTTTTTCTTATAAAATACATTATTGGGACAGCTGGTGACACTTGAATTGGATCTGAGGATTTCATGGTAGAAACACATCAGTGTTCACTTCCTGCTTTTGATGGTTATGTGGGAGAATGTCCTTATTTGTAGGAATTACACATGAAAATATTCAAGAGTGATAAAGCATTGTGTCAGCAACACCCTCCCATGGCTCTTTGTTCTCTTCTTGTAACTTTTTTCGTAAGTTTGACATTCTATCAAAAGAAAATAAAACAAAAGCAGGGCTATTTACTGCACAGTATCTCTTTTCATTAAGGAAGAACACTTTTCTAAGACCCTCCCAAAGCACAAGCCCCAGTGGCTGGTAATAGAGGCGCATGGCCTTTCTCCAGCTACAGACAAGGTTGGCAAAGCAAATTTACATAAAGGGGAGTGAGCTCTTCTCTCAGTCCAGTCCTTTCTCTCCATCCTCCCTTTGTCTCCATCCCCAAAGTCATATCTCACTTTGAACATTTTCTGCTCAGACTGACAAGTCTCCCTGACAGGAACTCACCCTCTCCATCCACCGCTTCCTTGCCACTAGGAAGAAGGAAGTGGAGTGGGGTGGCAACGTGTAGGCCGCCAGCAGTGTCTACCTCATCTCAATCTGAAATTTTTATATTTGACCTTGGTCATTTTGGAACACAGTGCCATCAGCAAAGACGAACCTTCCCAGAACCCCAGGTTGTTTGTTCTTTCATTTAGTGGCCAGGATTTGTACTAAGAGTTGGGGAAATAAAGATAATACAATTATTCTTTAGAAGTTCATAGGGGAAGGCTTTCATGAACAAATAATTATAGCACAATAAAGGCCGTGGAAGAATTATTGTAAGCCTGGGATATTATGAGCTTACAGATAAAGGGCATCTAAAACACCCCAAAGGAAGGGTGAGAGAGGAAAATCTTCCTAGAGAGTGGGAGGGGTGGGGATGGCAGCCCCTCTTCCTGCTGACATGGGAGATAGAATCAGGCAAGAGTTAACATGGATCTTTCCAATTCTGGTACAGAATCCCACTCAGCTACTGCAGCCCCCCAGCAGAGGTAGCAATTAAACACAGTGTTTAATTGTGGGGAATTCCAGGCAAAAGGCACAGCCTGAGTGATGGTACAGAGGTGAGGAAAGCAGGGGCACATACTGTGACTGCAAGCTGCCCATTTGGCTTCTGAAAGGATAACAGGAAGGAAGGAGAGTTGGGGCAGGAAAAATAAACTTGATTACAAGGTAAAATAGTTTCAATTTTTTTCTGTGTGTGCAACACAGAATTGTTCTTTAAGAGGATTGTTCCTTTAAGAGGAGAGTGCAAGATTGCTCCCTGATTGTTCTTTAAGAGGAGAGTGCAAGATGAGGGTTGTGTTTCTGAGCAATTCATCTGGAAGTGGTGGGTGGAAAGGGTGAGTTCCTGTAGGGGAGACTTGTCAGTCTGAGGAGAAAATGTTCAAGGTGAGATATGACTTTTGGGATGGAGTGAAAGGGAGGATGGAGAGAAAGGACTGGTCTGAGTGACCCATCAGATATGAAGGCGAGTGCCAGAGATGATTCAGGTGCTCCAAACGCAAGGACGGGTGTCATTAATAGACATGAGAAAGGCAGGGACAGGCTCTGGATGGTGCCCCGTGGGGACTGTTGTGGGAGATAATGCCCATCCATGATGGTGTGACCCAGTGGACAAAGTCAATCAGGCATTGTGCTGCGGTTTCAACAGAGAAGAGATGATGTATCTCATGATCTCCCTGTCCAGCTATTACCAGCCCCTGCTTAAAGCTTTTTGAAGGATCCCCCTTGCTCCTAGGACAGAGACCAGTCTTGAATTGCCCCAAAAACTGGAGCAGGCTGGCCATGCCCACCTATCATGCCCCAGGCCCACCCTCCTCACCATGCTCTTTCAGTTCCATCCATGGGCCATGTTCACCACTGTATCTCTAACACCAGCAAATAGGTGTTGAATAAACTGGTGGGTCTTCCACCACAGGGCCTTTGCACATGCGTTCATGTATCCATCTTTAACCATTGTCCTTTCTCTCTTTGCCAACTTAGAGGTAACCCATTCTTTTTAAATTTTTTTATTTTTATTTTTGGAAACAGGGTCTCACTCTGTCACCCAGGCTGGAGTGCAGTGGCATGATCATGGCTCACTGCAACCTTGACTTACTGGGCTCAGGTTATCCTCTAGAGTAACTGACACTACAGGTGTGCCACCATGCCAGCTACTTTTTGTAGTTTTTGTAGGGACGGAGTTTTGCCATGTTGCCCAGGCTGGTCTCAAACTCCTAGGCTCAAGTGATCCACCTGCCTTGGCCTCCCAAAGTGCTGAGAATACAGGCCTGAGCCACTATGCCTGGCAAGGCTACTCATCCTTTACAGCCCAGTTCAAGTGTCACTTTCCCAGGGGCACCTCTCTCGATATTCCTAAGTCCAGTTTACATGCATTATAGTAACACAAATCTTCCTTGTATAGCATGCACAGTAGGTGTAATTTTGCATTGACTTGTGAGAGTATTTGCTTGAGGTCCATCTCCCCCACAGACCATAACATCTATGGGTGTAGGGGTCACTGTTCTTTTTGCGCACGCCGTATCCCCTATATTCAGCATGGGAATTGGAACTTTGATGTGCTCACTGAATATCTGTGGAATGGATGAATGACTGATGAATTGGTGAGTATTTCACCAGTGCTTCACGAAAGTGCCAGAGAAGCAGGTTATGCTTGAGAAGCACCTTATAGGATGAATAGAATTTCAACAGCCAGAGTTGGTCTTCAGGTAGCCAGTCCTCAACTAGCAAAGGCAAAGGGAAGCTCCCTTGATCAGAGGGAGCTTCTGCATGCTTAGGAAGAATAGGGAACTGGAAATCTAGGGAAATAAAGGGCTCCAAGGCCAGAAAGACAACAAAGCCAAGTTTTGGAAGGATTCAAATGTCCATGAGGACTTGGTTATTGACTTGGCAGGCAATGAAGAGCTATGGAGATTGAGTGAAGGAAATGACACACTTGAAACTTATCTTTGAGAAAATGAACATAACTAGGAAACTGAGGGTGACTAGAGAAAGCAGCTGGGAGCAGAACACCACTGCCTTGGGAGGATATAGCAATGGCTTTGGTGAAACTTATAAAGCACACAAATGGGGGTTTTCTAGGTACAAGATGGTCAGAGCAAAATTTGGATGGTGAGGTTAAAGAAACCTGGCAGCAGATGAGGAAGTTCCAGAAAGAAAACCACTGGCGACCAGACTGTAAGCTCCAACGACTTGTGTCTTTTTCATCCTTATATTCCCAGTAGAAAAAAACATATTTTTCTTAGAAATTGTGGGAAAGAAATTAATTTAAGAGCTGAAAATGTTCAGGGAGACCATAAAATGGAGATACAATTTGGCCCAAAGACCTATTCTACTTAACTCATTCAATGTTTTGTTGGCAACATTAAAAATTGAGATTTCTCAAAAAAGTGGCATTAATTTTTTAGATTAATTTTTATTGAAAAAAATTTTATTTCCCATTATTTTGGCATTTGAAAAAGTGCTGTATTTTTAAAGATCTGCCCACATTAGTCACCACGTCCCATGTGGCACCCATTGCTGGAGCTTAGGTGGCCCCTGTTCAGTGGCTCCCCAGTACTGGTCTTATTCCCAGAGGGGTTCATTCACGATCTGTCTGGGCTCTGAGGGCAGCTGAGTCAGGTACCTGGCTAAAGAGAAGCTCATCGGTTCCCAGCAGGCCACTTTTTAGTGTACCATAAACCATGACACCTTTGTTACATTAGTGATCTGGGAGTATCTCGAATAGGTAGATGGGGCGGGGTTCTGTCCCAAAGCCTACACTCCCAGTGGAAGTCTGATGAGATACACTGATAGAGAGGCTTATTAGTATTTTACCATATTTTCTGCCAGCACTGGCATTCAGGGTCGTGGGGTTAAGTAGATGTTGCAGAATCACTGCCATGGTGTAAATAATTAGATAAGGGTGTATGTGGAATTCACAAAACTTTTATTGATATGTTTATCATGCCAAAAATGTTGTTTATTTAAAATTCAAATTCCACTTGAAAAGAGGCAACAAGCGATAGTTGGGATCCCAGCCTGCTCCTGGAGGAGCTCCTGTGTCCACAAAAAAGCACGCACATTCTACAGCTATGCGATTTGCTCACACGGAATTGCATTCTGGAAAACTCCTCCCAGAGTCCCCTTGCAGAACGCCATTTGTATCTTTAGTTGGTTGTAGCTGGGAAACAACAGAAAGAAAAGGAACTCCATCCTAGGATTTAGAATATTTATGGTTTTGAAACTACTGACCCTCAAGGATCTATCACCACCCAACCTAGAATATATATATCATCCTAGAATCTATATAACATATGATATATATATTCTCACTGAAAAGCAAATCACTGTTTATGTCACTTGCTTGCTGTCATGTCGGCCCCTTAGGATGGTCTCAGCACACCTGGTTCTCCTTCTCAGTGGGATCCTGTGGATTCTGGCTGTGAGTGGGCAGCCCTTCAGGAGCGTTTGGACTTGCTGCAAGTTGGGCACAGAAGCTGACCCTTAGTGACAATGTACGCCCGGCCACTCAGCAGCTGCTCACAGCCCTCACAGACAAAGTGCTTCCGGTGCCAGGCCAGATCTTCCACACGCTGGTAGTCCTCAGAGAATATTATCTGGGGAGGGAAGCAGGAGAAATGCATGACTCAGTTTCTGTCCCTAGGTAGAGATGGTATATCTAGGACTAGTTATAGGGTGGTGGTTCATCCCATCCTATTCTTGTTTTAACCTTTAAAAGCCTTAGTGGAAAAATCTGGCATAAATTTGAGGCAGTAAGGATTGTATTTGGTGAAGGTTGTGGTTGTATCTTAGCTTCCCAGATGGAATAAAAAAAAATTCCTCCACCACAGGAAGGTTTTACTTATCTAGCATCTGTGATACTCTTTGGGCCAAATCTAAAGTTTAGTTCCAAGGTGGGATTACACACCCTGGTGAAGAAAGCTTAGGGAAAGATAAGCTGCCAATGGCCAATCATCAAGAGCAAGAGTACAGAGGGTCACTTGGGCTTGGAACGAAGTGACTCTTGGAATAGACACACGGTAAGGATCCCCTGAGGCTCAGGAAGTGCAGAGGAGCATAATGTTTAATGGGCCTTCTAGTATTGGAGTCAAACAGGAACTGGGTATGAGTTTTCACTTAAGACATCTACCAGCTTTGTGACTTTGGGCAAATTACTTAATCGCCCTGTGCCTCAGCTTCCACGTCTGTAAAATGGGGATACAAATACTTTCCATACCATAAAGTTCCATGATTTCCAAATGGCCAACTACATATGAAAGGCTTAGAATGTTGACTGACACAAAGTCAGGGATATCTGATTAGCATTGACCTTTCAGAGCTGCACTTTTCTTAAATATGAAATGAGAAAAAATCATGCTTATCTCTCCCTAAAGGATTGTTGTGATATAAATGGCATGTTGTACATAAAGTATGTAGCAAATTACTGACCCACTGTAAGCTCCTAATAAATGATGGAGAATTGTTATTGTGCATATACTGTTGTCACCTCAAAAATTAGGCTCCAGGGCAGGCCTGTGACAGTTCTTTTCCTTCTTAATATCACTTAATAACAGAGTTATTAGGTAAGAGAACTACAGGGTCTTAACTTCATGTGGTGATCAATTCATAGAAGGTGGTAGAAAATAGGTGTTGGTTCAATATAAAGAAGGCATTTCTAACCTTCATACTTGCCAAAGATGAAGTCAGTATATTGCCTGCAACCAAAGGCATGCAAACAGTACTTACTATGATCATAATTAGTATTGTCATTGTTAATACACCTGAGAGTTACTTTCGTCAAACCAGTTTGAGAGACTTGAATCTCTTTCATAGCATCTCTATCATATCGTATTGTATCGTGTCACATTAATGTTAAATCTCATATTATGTTATAGTATATTATCGTTAAGACTAAGAGCTGCTACCATGTATAAGTTCCTAGGTCAGGCCCTGTGGCAAGCATTTTCATGCATTATCTCATTTATCCTCATAGCCACTCTATGGGATGGGTGCTGGTCTCATCCCTATTTCATAAGTAGTAAAACTGAGGCTCAACTGAGGCTCTGGAGTTAGGTAGCCACATGACTATAATAATAATAACAGATGCAGATACAGGTTTGAACATGGGCAATGCCTCCTGGTTCACCCTGGTATGTTCTGAGTACTTACTAAGTGCTACGTATTATGCCGAGGACAAGATTCACTGGCACTGTGTCTGACCCCTCCCAACAATCCCATGGTTTTCTGCCTCATTTTGCAGATGAGAAAATGAAGGTTGAGAGCATGCAGTGAGGCCTGACTTCAGTTTCCCAATCTGTAGAACACATCATCCACAAAGCCATAGTCCTCTTGGCCTCTGGGCTCTTACCCTCAGCAGTGTCCCTCAAGCCCCCCAATCCATCTAGCCACTATTTCCCACCTCATCGCAGCCGGAGCACCGGGGCCGCAGACTCTCGCAGTAATGGCGGCCGCACCAGGGTGCACCATCCTTCCAGAAGTAGATGAGGTCCACCAGCGGCTCGGAGCACTTGGCACACACAAAGCAGGTGGGGTGCCACTGCTTGCTGTAACCTGCCCTGTCCGAGTAGACCACGGGGCTGTCAGGAGGGGCCACTCCCTTGCAGAGCTCGCAGACCTGGAACGACGGGGAAGGACCACAGGAGACAAGGAAGTCAGGAGAGCACAGTGACATGGGTTCGAATTCCAGCTCCAGTCTCTCTACTTCCTGGGTAACCTTGGGCAAGTCACTATACCTCTCCATGCCTCAGTTTTGTCATCTGCAAAGCGGCACAATAATATTGTCTACCTAACAGGCTATTCATGAGGACTAAATAAAGTTATTTATTTAGCACAGTGATTCCCAAATTGTTTGGTCACAGTACCCTTTATACTCTTAAAAATTATCAAGACCCCCACAGAGTTTTTGTTCATGTGGGTAATAGCTATTGATATTTACCATAAGAGAAATTAAAACTGAGAACAATTTAAATATTTATTTTTTCATTTAAAAATGACAATACTAAACCTGTAATACATTAACATACATATTTGTTACTAAAATAACTATATGTTTCAAAACAAAAAAAAGTAGTGAGAAGAAAATTTTAAGACATTGTTTTACATTTTTGCAAATCTCTTCAATGACTTGCAGAAGACTGCTGGATTCCCATAACTGCTTCTGCAGCCCATCTTTTGCACGCTGTTGTTTTGGTTGAAATATATGAAGAAAATCTGAACTCACACTGACATAAAGTTGGAAAAAGGAGGGAGATGTATTTTAAAAGCCCTTCCAGATAACTGTGGATATTCTTCTTTGATATTATATTAAAATTTGACAGAGAATAGTTTCTCAAGTTAGTTGCAGTGTGAAATCTGAAAGCACATCAATGAATCTTTCATACTTGGTTACATTAAAACCTGTTTGTTTACCTTGCACGTTGAATGGATCTTTTACCCATGCATGAATAGTTTTAAATAATATTTAATAAGTAATATTTTTGGCTAGAAGTGGTGGCTTATGCCTTTAATTCTAGCACTTTGGGAACCTGAGGTAGGAGGATCATTTGAGGCCAGGATTTTGACACCAGTCTGGGTGACATAGCAAGACCCCATCTCAACCAAAAAAAATTAAAAATTAGCCAATTGTGGTGGTGCTCGTCTGTAATCCCAGCTACTCAGAAGGCTGAGGCGGGAGGACTGCTGGAGCCCAGGAGTTTGAGGCTGCAGTGAGCTATGATTGTGCCACTGCATTCTGGCCTGGGTGACAGAGTGAGACCTTGTCTCAAATAACAACAACAACAACAACAACAATAATAATAATAATATTTGAGTAGTTATAGAGTTACAGAAAAATTGCAAAAACAGTAGAGAATTTCTATATAGTCCACGCTCAGTTTCTTGAGTTCTTAACATCTTACATTAATAAGGTATATTTGTCATAATTAACCAATATTGATATGCTATTATTAACTAAAGTCCAGACTTTATTCAGGTGTTCATAAACTTTACCCAATGTCCTTTTTCTATTCCAGGATCCCACATTACATTTAATTGTCATGTCTCCTGAGGCTCCTCCTGGCTGGGGCAGTTTCTCTGACTTCGTTTTTGGCCACCATGACAGTTTTGAGGAGTACTGGTCAGGTGTTTTGTAAAATGTCCCTCGGTTGGGATTTGCCTGATGTTACTATGATGATTACATTGGGAGGAAGATCACGAGGCAAACTGCTCCTCTCATCACATCCTACCAAGGGTACGTACTGTCGCCCTCACTCGTCACCATTGGGGTTGATCTTGACCTTCTGGTGGAGGCAGTGTTTGTCAGATTCTCCACCGTAAAGTGACTCTTCTCTGCCTTTCCATACTATCCTCTTTGGAAGGAAGTCACTAAGCTCTCCATGTTTAAAGAGTGCTCCATCTCCTCCAGGGCCAAGTATCTACATGTTATTTGGAACCCATGCATGATTTTGGCAGACTCCCCAAAAGGACTCCATGCGTGTTAGCTAACATTATTTTTAAAATACCTATGGAATTATCTAATTTATATCTGTTCCCTCCACTAAGTGGCTAGCTGCAGAGGGCAGAGAGAGGCTGCTTGGTTGCTGCTCTGACCCAGGACCCTCTACTGGGCCCCGCACACATAAATTCCCCATCAATAGTTGTTGAATGAAGGAATGCTCCACCCTGCCATGGGGCCTTTCCCCTTGCTGTTCAGGATGTCTGGTACATTGTTCCCATTCCTGTTTGCTTGATTCACTCCCTTTCATTCTTCAGAACTCAGACTTAAAGATCTTTTGTTCTGGGAAATCTTCTCTGACCTCCTTCCATGGGCAATTAAGTCCATACTAAAGCTTCTCTGCTTAACTTTCTCTGTATGGTTATTTGATACGTGTTCTTTCTACACTAGATGGAAGTACCTTGGGAGCAGGAGCCACATTCAACTATGCTTGCTTTCACATCTCCCCAGTGCCGGGCACATAGTAGATCAACAATGAATATTTGGAAACCTCTGCCCTCCAACCTCATACTTCCTACTTAGGGGACAACAGATGAATGTGGAAGACACTAGCAGATGATGCATCTGTCTGCACCTTAGAGACAGGTTTAGACTAAGTGCAGCAGAGAGTTGGGCTCCAGAGACAGTTGTGGAAAGTTCTTGGGAGTTTTCAAAACACTCTTGCCTTTCAGGGGCTCATCCCTGTTTACTGAGCATCTACTATGTGCTAGGCCCTGGACTAGATCCTAGGGATACAGCAGTGACCCAGGCATATAATGCCGCAGCCTTCAGGGAAACTGGGGCTGTGTGTGTACGGAGGCAGAAAATAAATATATAAACAAACAGATGAGATAATCATGGAGTGTGATAAATACTAGGAAAACAATCACAGAGTAAGGGAATGGAGAGTGACTGTGGGATGGATGGCAGGGACCACCTTAGCAGGAGAGGCCTCTCTGAGGGATAAGGGGCTAGGGATCAACCACATTCCTATCTACCTCACAGCAGTCCTCTGGGTAGGAGATGCAGGTATATAGGAAATGCACTCATTTTATAGATAAGACCAGCGAGGCCCAAGGAGACAAAAGAGCTTGTGAAGGGGGGCACAGCCAAGAAACAAGCTGGGATTCAAACTGCCGCCTTTGGCTCTGTGACTTTCTATGGGAACTGAGCTGGGTCGGTTGGGGAGACTAAACTCAGGGAATTGTCTGAAGGGCTAGGAGGGCTCCCAGGAGCATGCATTCTGGCATGGCAAAGGAGCAGCATGCCCAACGGCTAAAGGTGAGAAGCAGCTTCCCTACAGGGCCTCTCAGCAGTTAAGGCAGCCAGTGCCTGGCTGCTTGCCATTCTCTTTCCATGTGGGGCTCCTTCATCTGTCTTTTACTGCCAGTAACATTTTCACTGGCCTGCTCAGAAATCATGACAAGGTGGACCTCAACTCATGTTGTTCCTCAGCTTCAGTTAGGATTAGGGCTTTGTGGAGAGGGTGAGTGTGCCTGGGAGAAGTTCTCTGTGAGAGCTCTAGATTTCTGTCTTATGCCAGTTCCCAGGAGCAGCGAAAGTTGCCAAATGTTCAGTCATTCACTGGTTCATTCAGGTATCCATCCATTGCACATTTATAACTTGCCCATTCTAATCCTCTAAAGAATGGGAGCTTGACATTCTCAATCCACGCAATCTTTTGAGCCATTTTAGAGTTATCCCCTGCTGCTGTAAGCCCCGATAATGATGATGGAGACGACAATGTCTGTCATGTCCCCACGGCGTGTCTGCATCCAACACTGTGCTCAGGACTTTGCTCTTGTTACTATTACCCCTTACATAAACCCAAGAGAGTTATTTCTCCTTCTAGAGTTATTTTCTATTCAGAAAATCATTATCTTCTCTCCTAGAAATGGCAAAACTAAAGTTCAGGGAGATTCAGTGATTTGCTCAGTAATGCACAGCTGATGGGAGGCAAAGCTAGGATGTGAACAGAGGCCAAACCTGGCTCCAAAGCCAAAGTTCTTTCTACTCCATCATGTGGCCTTGAGATCCGGCGTCAGTAAGCTATGGCCCGTGGCCAAATCCGGCCACTGTCTGTTCTTGCAAGCCCCATGAGAATGAAGACTGGATTTTACGTTTGCCCTCCAATTCAGTGAAATGTTTTCTCTCAAGAAAGAATTCTACTTTTGTCATTAGTAGACCTATATTGAAAAAAACCCCTGTGCTCAATTATTATTATTATCTTTTGAATTTCATTTAAAAAACCCAAGGAAAGTTGTTTTCTCTCTTGTTACATAAAGTGCCCACATGATATTGCAATTTTGGCTCTTGGCTCACATCTCCTAAAGTATTTACCACCTGGCCGTCCACAGAAAGTGTTTGCTGACCCTGGCTTTAGATGCTAATTTAAACTTAGTATCAACTATGTTTCAGCCAAAATAGAAATATTTATTGTTTTGCCATGTGAAGACAGGGAAGCGTATAAGAGTCTGCACACTTACTATTCTTAACTTATATACTTTGATAGCATACTTAATCTACTTTTATATATTGGAGAGGAAATAAACATTAAAATGGTGAAAATTAGAAAAAAAAAACACTGAATAACAAAGAATGTCCATGTACTGATAGCAGTTTCTGAGCATAGGAGGTCTTGAATGACTGCCTATATAAGGAATGTGTTTGGTTAACTGGATATATCTTGGATCCTGACTGTGCCTGATAATGTTCCTTAGAACATGCTAGATTTGTGGTTTCAGTTATGCCCCCAAGAATGAAGGGTGTGAGTTTTTCGCCCAAATGAAAATCCTGTTCCTCTTCACATGATTGAGATTCAGCTGGCCTGGAGCCCATCAGGGGGTCTAGACAAAAAACCAGTGACCAATCATCGTCTGCTTATTTTCACCCTCCCCCCTGCAGAGCTGGGAACTGTAAACTCTTTGGCCAGGGCTGTCTGAATACAAAGTGAGTTGTCTGTCTGGTTTCTCAGTTCTACAGAATGAAATTTCCACTCTTTCCCTCCCACGCAAAAGGGACTTTGTGTCAATTCACCAAACTACACCCCATCGGGTAACACCATGATATATCAATGGGGCTCCCCACTCTACATTACCAAATGGGAATTGACATGACAGTAGGGGAAGGGAGAGGGATAGAAA